AGGAGTTTCAGACCCTGACATCTTTCCCCTTCTCACTCCTTCCAGCTATTCCCATGCCCTGGACGGCATGTACCGTGTGCTCCGGGAAGGTGAGGCTGCCCAGGGGTGGGGGTATGATTAACCTGCCTGTGGTGTCCTCGTTGACACTGGGAAACCATGGCAATGGCTGAGGGAGCTCCCACTGGGAACCATCATGGGTGTTCTCTCAAGCTAGGTGGGGAGAGGGGATGGAGGATGGCCACACTGCCTGTGGGGACAAAACCAGAGGTCGGGCAGGGCCCAGCATCTCAAAAGTGCCTGGCTACTGACAGGCCCGGCAGGGCATGGCAGCCCGCCCCCTCCCCTCGGGGAAAGGGAGGTCCCGCCATTAAAAAGAGCAAGAGGCTGGAGGAGGTGGCAAAGGGAATGAATGACAGCAGGGAGGGGATAGGGCTTTCCTGAGGGATTCTCCTTTCCTGTAAGTCCAGCATGTTTGCTATTTTGGTATGTTGTGAGCGCTGCTGTCTGAGAAGTCTAGGACACAGATCGTGCAGGGAAGGAGCCTCCTTGCTGGAGGGGAGTGTGAGTAATGTCCCAGGACTGTGCTGATCCTGTCTGTCCACAGAGGGCTTGAAGAAGCTATTCTCAGGGGCTACAATGGCGTCCAGTCGAGGGGCCCTAGTCACCGTTGGACAGGTAGGGCAGCTCTGCTGGGCAGTAGGTACCCTGGGCGGGGGAGTACCTGGCTTAGAAAGGGCAAGGGATATGTCACTAACACACTGTGTCTCTGCAGCTCTCCTGCTATGACCAGGCCAAGCAGCTGGTTCTCACCACCGGGTTGCTGTCAGACAACATCTTCACTCACTTCCTGGCCAGCTTCATCGCTGTGAGCAGGGCTGGGAGGAGGGCACGCAGGGCTGGGCCTGAGCTTGTCCACAACTGGGTTCAGGGCCCTAAACTGGGGCTGATGGAGTTGCATACTCTATCTTGGACCCCGATGAAGGAGCCCTACACGGGATTGGACTCAGCCTAGGCTCTGGACCCGGCCCTCCCTTTCATCTGGGCCATACCAGGTCTTCTCCATGGGCCAGAGCTGGTGACCTCCTGTTGACTCTCCCCAGGGTGGATGTGCCACGTTCCTGTGTCAGCCCTTGGATGTGCTCAAGACCCGTCTCATGAACTCCCAGGGCGAGTATCGGGTGAGTAGCCGTCCTGCCCAGCTCTCTGTTGCTGGTTCTGTCCTCTTCACGCACTGGCCTCTACCACCTGGCACCTCGCTCATCTCTGTCCCTTTTATTCTAGGGTGTTTCTCACTGTGCTGTGGAAACTGCCAAGCTTGGACCCCTGGCCTTCTACAAGGTACCTAAAGGGGAACGCATGGGATGAGGTGGTAGGAGGGAGTGTGGGGAGGCTGGGCCAGACTGGGAGCAGAGGTGAGGATTCAGAGCAGTTCTGGGGCAGGAGCTCTGCTCCTGGGCTCCGCTGCCCAGAGTCAGACAGCTTGCTGTGTCAGTCCTTCATCTGCTGGTCCCTGGCTTGGCCCTGGTGTACTGCAAGGCTTGGCCTCTCCTTGGACTTGTAGCCTGAGTCCAGGCCTCACAGCAGCTGCAGGGTTGCACTCGGTGGGTTCTCTAACGGGAATGCAGGTATTTACAGTGATGCTCCAGCATCTGTTGGATTTTACTGGCTATTGCAGACACTGGTCATTTCTTGGGCCCTGTACGCCTGGGCTTGGCGTAGTCGCCGGTGCGTTCAGTCTCACTGCTGGGAGGGCCCCTGAAATGGTGTTTCAGATCCAAAGTTTCTTCCTGATGCTGCCAGTCAGGCATTTTCCCTGTTACAGCCTGTCTGCTCATCTTCCCCAGGCAGCCTCCATCCCCCTTCTGAAACAGGGGCTGTGGGACCTGACACTGGCTTCTACTGAGACTCTGGGCCTGCACAGTGGTGATGCCAACACTGATGTGTTTGGGGGCAGAGGGGTTAATGCATGGTGATGCTGAGATCTGTGTGCACAGTCATGGCTGCAGTGCCTCCCTCCTCAGTCTGGGCCACTGAGGCCCCAGCTCCTTGGAGCTTGTGCTGCATGTCCAGCCAACCTGTCCCCAGCGCTTGCGAGCTCCTGCTGCTCCCCACGGGTTGGGCTGCTGGGCGCCCCCAGCCCTGACGGGGAAGCCCAAGGCCAGGCACGGGCTGACTCTCCCTCCGTTCTCACTGTCCCGTTCCAGGGCTTCGTTCCTGCGGCTATCCGGCTCGTTCCTCACACCGTCCTCACCTTTGTCTTCCTGGAACAGCTGCGCAAATATTTTGGGATCAAAGTGATCACCTGAGCGGGAGGGACAGGACCCTGCCTCACCCTGTGGGCTTCTCCAGGGGATGAGCATGCGGGTTGCGACTGAGATCCCAGAACTCTCCACTGTCTGGAGCCAGGCTGCCCCCCACCCCTTCATCCCGTTCCCACGCCTCGCCAGCGCCTGTGGCTAGCTGGTCCCAGAATCCCCTTTCCTCCCTCATCCCAGTTCTCATATCAGTTACTCTTGGGCTACTGTTAGGCCCCTTGTCCATTCTGCACCCTAGTTTTGTGTTGTCTTCATGCATGGTTTGTAGCTGCAAGGTCCATCCTTACCTCCCTCCTGTGCAGGCTTGGAGAGGCTGATGCAGCAAGGGGCCCTTGTTTCTGTCCCATACGAGCCTCCCTGGAGCAGGACTGCCCTGTCCTGGGAGAAAGGGGGAATTGACGTTCTGCCTCTGTGCCCTGGTCAGTCTCAAGGCGATGGGGGCTGCTCGGGGGCCAGTTTCACTTGTGACCATGCTGCAGCATGAGCAGTGTGCGCAGGGCTCACTTGCTCCCAGCCTCTCCTGCCATCAGCAAAGGGAGACGCGGGTTTAGGGCACCAAGGCGCTGCCCCCGTTTCAGCACCTCTGGCCCCACTTCCCCTCGTGCCCTTCCAGTGGCCCCAGCGCAGCTTAGCAGGTGCCTCCCCTCACATGCTGCTGTGCTTTCCTGGCCTCCTCACACCCCTGCTTTCGCTTGGCCAAAACTCACCAGCGTCCAACGGCCGCTGGGCTCTTCAGGGATTGTGCCTCATACCAATGATGACAGAGAACGGACCCAACGGGCGAGGGGCTGCCGCTCGGCTGTCCTGCCCTACTGGCCAGGTACGGGCTGGGGTCTTCCTCGCGTGGCCTGCCCTAGCCTGGGATAAGGCCAGCAACTGCACTACTGTCCTCTGGCTCCTGCCTCGAGCCAGGTGCAGGTAGGAAATCCAGGGTGCATTGGCTGGAGCTGAGGCGGGGCTAAGGTCGCTCAAAAATACCTTGTGCAGCTGTGAATGAACTGGGAGGT